TTACTTTAAATTTCCACTTGTAGGTTGAGCTAATACCTCAAAGCATATTTACAACCATAAGTATGTATGTATGTACAGTCAAGTAAATTCTTTCCTTAGAAACATAAATAATTAAGGTCATCTCATTACGAAATCGCTTTGTGAAAAGTTTCCTAGTACACACACACACACACACACACACACACACACACAAATAAATACTTAAAATTGCTTGAAATATATATAAATGTGTTGCATTGCTAAAAATATTTGGTTGAAGAGAAAGTGTTCCACATGTCAGACTGGTAAAAGACTCTTCCACGCGCTGCTAATGAGGTGTTCAGAGTTTTCAGAATTTATAACATATGAAAATGTCAAGTAACTAAGAAATATGAGCGTGTTGCTAATATATATAAATATATCAGTGTGTCTGTATATGAGCAGTAGTATGAATATGCGACAGTAAATCATTAAAGGAATGCATAAAGTCCTCGTAATACTTTCGAGGTATTTTTGCAACATTCTTACTTTTCAACACCTAACAACTGCACCGTCTTGCCGCCCCATCGCCGACAAACTTGGCAAGCGTTTTGTGTGTAGTAAACTAATTGCTAGTTCATATGCTGCCGCCAGAGGTGCTGTCATTGGCACTTCCACTTCTGCTGGCACTTCCACACACACCCGCACCCACATCCACACACCCATACACACACGCAGTGACACTTCAAACTTGGCTGCAATGCCGTTGACACTTCCGCCGCCAACGACAACAACACGGTCACTGTTGTTACTGTTGTTACTGTTGTTGTTGCTGCCACTATCAAGTGCTGTCAAGTGTGCCACACGCACAACTTTGCATTGCGTTTTGGGCCAAGTTACATAACAGGCTATATACACGCCTTCACATACACACATATATAAATATAAACATATATATATATATATATAGATATACATACACGTGGCAGTATGCAAATTTATAGCAGCGAAATCAAGAAACCAAGAAAAAAAGTAACAACAATTACTATAATAATAATACCAAACGACAACAAAATCAACAACAACAAAAACAACAACAACAACAACAAAAACAGTAAGCTGTTTGTCAAGTTAAATATTTTTGCTATAAAATGTAAAGATGAGCGAAGTACGCAAGTTTTCCTCCACTTTTGCTAACAACTTTTCACAAAAAAAATATTGCAATTTCAGCGAAAATTAGTTGTTACGAAAGTAAATGTACCAAAACCTCTACGTTGAGGAGGGAATGTTGAGTGGAAAACTTTGAGCTGCCAGTTAATAAAGCCAAACTGTAACATAAGATTTGTTGAAGTAAGAAAAATTATAAAAAAAAATATTATAGAATTTTTTGCCTATGGGTCGTATAATCGCTAAATTTGAGCGCCACATCATACATACATATATACAACATAGATAGATATTTATTTCTGGCTACTATGGTTTATTCTTAAACTCATTTGACTGTCATTTTGCACAATCTTTCGTGCTATTGCTGCTGTCATGTGCGTGAAGTGTGCCAAAGTTCAAGTGTTTTTTTTTTTTGCTTTTGACGTCACACATACCTTTGTGGATTGTATTTGAACTCAAAATCAAAATAAAAAACAATTTTAATTAAATAAAAACTGTTAGTTGTGAACTGCATGTACATATACTTTGTTCATAAGGGATTTTTTAGTTCAAGAACACGACATAAATATTTGTATGAACATTCATACATATGTACATATATGTAAGTCTCGTTGTTATTATTATTGCTCTAGACGAAATCGAAAAGTATATTTTGCCCCAACTGCTTTCATCTGTTCATTGACTCTTCGTCCCAGACGATGTTCGTTCCTACTATTGCTCGGTAATCACGTGTGTTAGAAGAGTGTGGTTTGTTGCATACTGCAACTGGACTCTCTACCTAGTCTACCTATCGGTATGCATATCATGTTTATCCGCATGTATGTATATCCAGAGCGATTTATTTTAGCAGAATTTTTTTTCCATTTACTTCAATTGGGGTAGGAAACATTGAAACATTAAGGGAGGTCAGTTTCCACCGCTTTTTCACCGGAGGGGAAGTTCTTCTTCTTCTTCCAATACTATTAGTATCACAGTTTAGTCGCTGACTTTTTATTCACTCTCCCAAATCAATGTTCCTTTAAATATCATACCACAAAATCATCTTTTGCTGGTTTCAACTCATCGGATAATGGGTTTGGATCGCCTAATAACTTTGTTCATCTAGAGACAGCTTTACTTTTTAATTGGGTACGCAGTCATAATGTAAACAAAAGATATTCCCTGTTGGGTTTCCAATATTGTAGTTTTTGGATTTTGAGTTATTCTACTTCGAAGTTAAGGTTTGTTTGATAACTGCGCAGCACAATACCGTTGTATCAAGCCCAATATACGAGCATATATAATTCGTAACCGCTGAAGTGATTTTCGGCCGAGCTCCAGTCTTTAGACCTCCTATGAGTATCGGCATTTGATCATAGACATTTCGAGCACAGTCCTTAGCTACCAGCTACTCCCCTTATATCCACGCATTTCGGCTTCACTCCTTCTTCTGTCTACATACTCGTATGCACCTCGATTCGAGTATAATTCCCACATAGTACGTTTGTGGTCGGTCGTAATGTTTTCTCTCCACTGCAGTCCGGAAATCATCATCGTATCGGCAAAAAGACAGAGGCGGCTGGACCGAATCCATGTTTGGACCTCGGAATGCGCGCATATCTACACTAAACGTATGCTCCCATCCAAACCTATTTAATGTCAGGCGAAAATGATCGGCCTAAGCCTATACGGGGATATTTCGTCATGATTCCTGAATTTACTGGCTACGCAAAAGCCCCAGCGGGGACAGCCCATGAAGTTAGGACACATCGGCCTCTACTTCCGTCGCTTTTATCAGGATTGTGGCAAGACGTTCGTCCACTAGGGTGATTATCAGAACTTTTCGGAACTTCAAGTTTGCGCTATTTTATGCGGCTACTGTAACATATCTCACATGGAGGCACACCTTGTACTCGCTTTACCCCATTGGTGTCGGCTTTAATTTTAGTGAAAACAATGACCTGCCTGGCAGGGGTTCCGTTCCAATTAAGGAACTAGAAATTATTTATGATTATAATCCTTTGTACGTTTGCAGTGGTCGCCATCAAAATGGAAACACTTTCTTGTCAGAGGGTGCAGCGCCTTTTACTTTTCAATTTATTTTTTATTATGCAATTTGAATTTAATAACAGCCGAACATTAGTCTTGACTAGCAGTCCTATTTCTCGCTATTGTTTCTTTTGCAGCAAATCATAGATTGGTTTGCGCGATCTTTTTTTTACTCTTGATTCTGTTATCGCGAATAAAATTATTTGAACCCCAGCCAAGTCGATTAGCAGCATCTTGTCTCACGCCATTCCGTACAGAGCGGGTTAACATGATCAAACGAGTGCTGAGAACTTTGTCAATAGCAACTTATAACATAATGTTTTCTTTTTCCTCTGGAATGGTCTGGACACCGCTAACTAGGTCGCACTGCAGCTTATTCTTTCAGTAGAGTGAAGCTCATCCCTTCTCTCTGCTATCACCGTCGGACCCTGCATCGAATACTTTCATGCGGACTGCAGGACCTAGCCAGCGTAGCTATTATCGTTTTATTCATTGAACTATATATAACTCGTATAGCTCATCGTTCCATCATCTGCGGTATTCGGTGCAGTCAAAGAGCAGAGGGCCATAAAAAAATTTTGCAGACTTATAGAGCCTCCTCATCGGCTGTAGACGTCGTTTACGCTTCTGCACCATATAGCAGGACGAGTGTGATGACCGACTTTTAGAGTACAGGTTTGGTTTATCGGGAGCGGACTTTACTTTTCAATTGCATACTTAGTCCAAAGTAGTGCCGTAGGCTGTAAATTAACTACGACTTCGGAGTTTTGACTGTCAACAGTGACATGAGAGCCGAGACGCGAATGCGATACATGTTTGTTTAATGACAGAAAGATATTTCGTCTTGCCCTCGTTCACTACCAGACCCATTTGCTTCGCTTCTTTATTCAGTCTGGAGAAAGCAGAACTCAAGACAGTGTTGTTAAGGCGAGTAATGTCAATACCCCGGCGTACGCCAGCAGCTATACACTTTTATAGAAGATTCTATCTTTTCTGTTTAGTGTGGTATTTTCGTCAGCATCAAATTCAAGAAATCGCATTATAAATACTCAATCTGTCTGAAACCAGGTTTAGTATCAAACGACTGTTCTTAAAAAATTCTAACTACACTTCCGCTGTTAATCAGAGTCAGTTTGCACATCCGCATACGTTTTGGAGGGACACTAAATTAAGACCTGGCAACGTAGAGGCAGCTCCTGTATTGCTCAGCTTTCAGGTCTATGAAAAGGTGGTGTGTACCGATTGTTTTCTCACGAGTCTATTTCAAGAAATGGAGCATAAGGAATATTTGGTCAAGGTCCAAGCAGAGTGTTTTATCAAAACTAAATGAAAAGATTTCGGCAAACTAGAAGAAATGTTTTCGATTCGAGGCAAGGAAAGTTCGTATAGACTGGGCGTTTGGCTCGTGGAGAAAGGGATGTCATAGGGCCGCAGCTTCTTCTTATGGGTACTATTTCAAATCATACTTTTTTAGTGTTGTCTTTGGAGCACCGTATCGAAGTAAGAGAGAAACAATTTAGAGAAGATAATTTTTACAACTTAATTTACTTAAAAAATGATTTTTAAATAATAATAACTACTTATTGAAGAAATGATGGATATAATGAGCGCTCACATAGATCTATTTACCTTTAGAGACCATAAAATATTTTTTCAGTGCTCGACATTCCTTTCAAATACTTGATGAGCTTCTATCGGCGTTTGTTGTAATTCTTTGCTGAAAAATCTATATTCAAATTGTTTACCCCTTTGTTACTTAGGCACATTCTAACTCAAAGATAAACAGAGGTCCTCCCTTGTCTTTTTGCTTCCAGTTACTCTCCTTCTCGAAGTGAAAAAAGTTAACCACTTGCACTTTCAATTTGAAGAAACAAACAAATTTATTGCAATCTACAATTCAAAATAAATTGAACAATTTCACAGATATCCTCTGCCGCTACCCCGTTATACACATTAACTACTCCAATTTCGCCAATATATCCGCCTCTCGATACAACACATACTCCTTTTTATCTTCCATCTCGACCCGTGTGCCACCGTACTTGGGCAACAGCACGCGATCGCCCGCCTTCACACCAATCGGTATGTAATTTCCACTTTGCGGATTGCGCGACCCAGGCCCAACTGCCACAACGGTACCTTCCACCATGCGCTCCACACCCTTCTCGGTGAGCACAATGCCACCTTTGGTGACATTCGCGGCCTCGGCGCGTCGCACCAAAATCCGATCCAATGTGGGAATGACACGTTTGATAATCGCAGCCATTGACGTGACGTGCAATCGTTGGTTATATCAAAGAAAATTAATAGTTTGCTTAATTGAAAATCTCACCGTTTTTTGTGTTGTTTAGAAATTTTATTTCTTTTTTTTTTGTCACTTTTGACAAGCGTCAAGAGGGAAAATTTAAAAATTTTGAATTTTTACCCACAGACAACGTGAAAGTTTCACGCTCCTCCATATAGTAGTTGAGTTGTTGTTATGGTTAAAGGGTATGATTTATGTGTATATGTATGTGTGTATAGTATTTCGCTAAATTGTTTGTGTAATATTGCTTTACATGCAAATCCATTGTTATGCGCACACAAAAGGCCCTTGATTGAGTTTGGGTGTGCATGGCGTATACGCAGCCTACATAAATATGTACGAGTGCATGTACATACGTGTATGTATATATTGTGAAGCGCTTGTAGCGTTTATGTAGTGGAATTGACGGAAGCAGCCAAGCGAAATTGTTAACACAGTTATTTCTTAATGCAATTTTCAAGGATAATTAAACTTGATTGAGGGTAAATTTATGTATCGTATCTTTATAAACATGTTTGTATGTATGAATACTTGCGGATGTGTATTTAGCACTCATAGTTTTCGAAAGCGAGTGAAAAAGAATTCACTTTTAACCCGCTATAGGAGCTTAGTTAGGCCCAAAAAGGATTTTTCTTCAAATTTTTAAATGCTGAATTTATAGAAATTTTTTTTAATTAATTAATTTTTATTAAGTTTTTTGTCTTCTCGTAAATCGTAGCACAATTAGTATAAGTGTAGAAATTAATCTCAGATCACCCTGAACATCCGAAAATTAAAAAAAAAGTAATTTAAATTAAGAAAATTAAGAAAAGTTTTCAAATTGCGGTCGCCCCCCGGCAAGGAATGTCAAGCCCACCAATTGTATTTGTGACAAGAAAAATAAAAGCCCCTCAAAAAAAAAAAAAAAAAATTAGCCGTTCATAGGCGCCTTCGTATAAACTGTAGATTCGTCCAATTCTCGGGAAAACAAAACGCAAATCACGAGTAGCTCCGCCAAAGGATACAAAGTGCTAGTGTAGTACACTAGAGGATTCCTGGCCTGATTTAGCAAATGCTGACGTCTTTTCTATGCAGATTTTAGATAAAATTTTCTTAACTCTCAGCTTCTTTTTCATCTTAATGCAGATGATGTCTCCGCTTACGTGTTCATGGCCAAATTAACAACAGCACGTCATGAGTTTTTCTTCCTTGCGGATCGGTCACACGGATACACTAAGTGTAACCATGTCGCTGTCCATCTGATCTTTCCGTGCGAAGAGAGGGCCATCCTCCACTGTCACTCAATTCACTGACCTCGGTGGACTAAATCTGCGGAGTGAGCGTCTTTCCAATCCTTTTTTTTTCAAGATAGGATTTTACTTTTTAATTGTCCTAAGTAGCATTTATTGAGGGGGGTGTTTCTGCATTGTATTTCCCGAATGACTTTCATCAACACTGTAACTGCCAACAAGATAGCATTAGAATCTTGCGTTGTTTTGTAAATTGATTTATCTTCGTTCATTACCAGTCCCATTTGCCTCCTATCCTCATCAAGTCTGGAAAATGTAGAGCTAGTATCGCCGTTGGTGAGGCCGATGATGTCAATACCATTGACATATGGCAGCAAGTGTATGCTCTTACAGAAGATGGCACCTTCCCTCTGCTACCAGAATAAGATCTGATTCCTCGCTATAGATCTCTTGCTATATGCATTAAAGAACACAATATCGTTATACTACAGATATGAAAATGGTAATTCGAAGATTGGTGATGATGGTTTATACTTACTAGAAGTCTTTAAAGAAGTTCATTTCTTTAAATCATTCTTCTAGAAAAATTAGGTGTATGTATTAGGTTGGTGACTGGCAATGAAAAGTGGATCTCTTACGTCAACCTTAAGCGACGGTAGTGGTCAATATGTGGTGAGCCGGCAGAAACGGTGACCAAGCCAGGATTGAAGCAGGTAACTTTTGCTGTGTGTTTAATGGGGTTGACAGGGAATTATCCACTATGAGCTGCTCCCATACAGCGAAACTCTTAACTCGGAACTGTAGCGTCAACAATTGGACCGTCTGGAGGAAACAATCTTCCAGAAGCGGTCAGCTTTGAATAATATGATAGGAATTGTATTTCATCAGAACAACGATAGTGCCAGAAGCTCCAAAATTTTGGTTGGGTGGTTCTTATGAATCCACCTTATAGTCCGGACCTGGCACAAAATGATTGCCTTCTGTTTCTGTCCATGGCGATCAATTTTGCTGGTGAAAAATTCAATTTCTGGATTTCTTTTTACCTAATATTTCACGTCAGAACACATTTTTTGAAAAGTTTCGTAACACTGAATATCATCTTGACTCTCTTCTGGAAGTTTTTAGCACTTCTTGGGAACAAGGCAAATAAACTTTTCTGAAACTTTACGAAAAGGAAGCTATCAGACTGGTCGACCTTCATCTTATAATACATAACGGTACATATCATAGTGTGTGAAAATTATTTGAAATTTAACGAAAACTATTTTTTAGTTGAAAGCTCTCAGATAAGCCCATTAAAATTTAGAAAAAATTATTATATTTTTCTTAAAGTGCGAGGGTTTACTGAGAAGAATATCACTAAGTCGGAGTCTTTAAGTTAAATAGAAGTTGAGAATTTTTTTACTGAAAATTATTGGAAATCACTTTTTTTTGTTTAGAAATTTCTCCAGCGAATGGATTTCGTCATATCGAGCTCAACACAATATTGCCTCTGCTATTTCGCTCAAGTGTGCAAAAGTTGCTGCCTCTAGATATTTCAACCTACTCTTCAAAGTGAGATGAAATCACAAATGAAGTGCCTTAAAGTTTCTAGTTCGTCTTTTTGTCAGAAACTTCTGCAACAGTCGGTAGATGGTAAGCTTGCACAATAGAAAGCGCTCTGTAAGAAGACAACAATAGATATCTTCTTCCCGTTCAGCTCGGTAAGGTCATGCGCACTTTCTTCTGTTCCATTTTGTCCTGATCACATTATAGACATTAAGACTTCGTCATCAGGTGTTAACATCTTTAATGAATAACTCTCCTACATTGATCTTACAAATGGAGTGCGGCAAGCCCAAATGGCGAAAGTGGAATGGAAGTTTCTTTCCTTGCATGCTCGTCCGCCATCTATATGTAATAAATTCCTCTAAAATGAGGGAACTAACAAAAGTTCGATCAGTTGGTGACCCTAAATTTGTTTTTGTTAAATCTAAATGTACCAAATCCTTTGCAATTACTTTTTTAGCCTTACTTTAAAATTTTAGAAAGATTGGCTAAAATGAAGACGAAAAAACGCAAGATAGCTGAGGATAGATTAGACGAAATTGCATAAAAAAATTTTAAGTGAATGCCAAATTGCATATGGAACGATTGCACCATCTTCAAAGGCAATTCCTAAGTGGTTGCGAAGATTTCAGAGCGCACATTTTTCCCTACAGAACGAGCCCCGAGAAGATCGACCAAAATTTTCCACTGATGATAGGACCGTCGATGTGGTGAAGTCCACGATTGACAGAAGAAATTATTGTTAATAAATTGGATTGGAATGCTGTATTGCGAATATTAAGTAATCAACTGGGATACACGAAGAAATCTGCTTGACAGGTACCACGAATTTTAAATGAGGTCCAAAAAGAGGCTCGAGTACACTTTTCCTAAAAAAAAATCGAAAATTGTCAGTCCAGCATCTTTAGTAAAGTCGTTATTGGTGACAATTATTGGTTCTATAAATAAGATCCTGAGATCCCACAGCAGTCCATAGTATGGAGCCCAACAGGATCAAACCCATCCGTAGAATCAAGCTATAATGTCAGTTTACTTCACCCGATCTGAAATCGTAGCTGCTATTTCACTGGAAAAGGGTCTGATGGTAACTGCAAAATGGTACACCGAAGAGTGTTTACCAAAAGATTTCAAAAATTTGTTGGAAAACAGAAACAAAGAAGATTTGCGGCGCTACTTTTTACATCATGACAACGCGCCATCCCAAACTGCTGAAATAAGGAGTAATATTATTGCGATCTATGGTATAGAAGAAATATTGTACGTCCATCACCATAATCTCCGGATATAGCACCTTGTGATTCTGTTTATTTGCAAAAATTAAAAACAAAATTTGAAAGGAAAGGTCTTTGACAGCAACGAGGAGGTTATTAATGCGGTTAATGTTGAGCTTGATATGCTTAGAAAGCAAGATTTTGAAAACTGTTTTTCAGTAGTGGATCTATGGGCTTAAGAAATGCATTGAAATCAATGGCAAATATAATATATACAAAAGGTAAAGAAGGACAAAGATTACGAATAAATACAGTGAGAATTGGTTTTTTTTAATTTTCTGGTCAACTTACGGAATTTTTGTTAAGCCCTTCTTACATATATTTCGTCTCAAAGGTATCATAATACTGAATGAGAATTATTTGAGGCTTATTTCACATCTCATTAAAACATCTACAGCTAAAATGGTGATCTTTTATAAAAATTGTAGTAGCAAAAGCATCGTCAGTAGCACAAAAACAATATATTATGAAGCGTCAAATTAATAGAGATCAATGACAGCAGTAGAAAACATATCAGCTGTATTTTCACTATTTTAAATTCTTTGATAATATAATATAATCTCGAAAAAATTCAATATATGTATGTACTTTATATTGGCTTGAGCTCTCCCTGTTTTTTTGTTTAACTTTAAAGGAAAACTGTTTTTCAATTTGTTGAAATTACTTTACAATTGAAAGACTATAGCAAATCATAATAAATAAAGAAAAAGTATATAATAAAAACCAAGAACTTTCTGTAACTTCCTCACATACAAATGATTCGCCTCCTCAAGTTCTTTGATGTCATTATTGCCTCTGAGGCTTGTATTAAAAGGTGTATTCTTACGCCTACTTTATGCTTTCGCCTCAACAATTCTAAACATAAACTACAAAAGTAATAAGAATACATATGTACACAAGAAAGTTAAACACTAGTCCAGCACTTACCTTTGTCATTGGGATCGAATTCAGCCTCTAATTCAGCTTTGGTAGGCTCCGCCGCTGCCGCCGCTTCAGCAACATTTTTGCTTTCAGCATTTTTGTTAGCAGACGCAGCAGCGTTAGCGCCAGCGGTGGGGGTAGATTTAGTTTCACTCTTCTTCATGGTGGCTCTTACTTTGTGTCCTCGAAAAACGGCTTGGATTTTAGTGGCTGCTTTTGCTGGAAATGCAAAAGAGAAAAAATGTTAAAATATTAAAATAAAAATTAAAAAAAAAATTTTAAAAAATTTTTTAAAAATGTCGGAAATATTTCGTGGGTGAGAAATATACACGGAATGCAGCAAAAGTGCTGCTTGCGGCATTTTACGTATTCAATTTGTAGGACTACGGATTTTATTGGTGGCATCAACACCATCTAGTAGCCTCCCAAATATTTCAACTTGAATTCTCATATGCTTGTATTGATTTGTGTACAAAAATAGGTAAAACCATGGCAACATAGCTAAACCCAATTGGTCAGCTTTTCTTTTTTGCTTTAACATTTTTTTACTGGTTTTATTTTATTTAATTTTTTTATTTTTATTTTATTTTATTTTTTTTTTTATTTTTATTTTATTTTATTTCATTTTTTTTTTAAATAGAGTATTTCAAATAATTGTATTTGCGCCTTTGTTCCATTTTATTCCCATACAATGCTTATTTAGTGTTTTGAATAATTCTGTAAATAACCTTCTTTGCCTCTAACCACTCTCTGCTTTAACTTTTTTATTTGTATACAACCCAATTGTTGGGCTCTTGTTCATTTTAATTGAATTTCTATTGATTTGTGAGCGAACAAAAGAATCGATTTATGGAATTGGGTTAAACTATTGTTAGGCTGATGAAAATTTCATGGCTATATTATTGTTAGAGTAGCTTATATTCAACCGTTTTTTTTGTTTATTTAGAAAAATACCGTTTTTATTTATAAATGTAGTATATGGCGAAAATAGTCAATACTCGCATTACAAGAAAGTCAAATTCGTCAACGTTATCTATGCAGTCATCTGAGTTGCTTTTTATATTTTATTATTTTTTTGTTAGAAAATCGCGCATATTTTAGGGCAAACTTGAAAAATGTTTTTTAGTTGCAAAATAAAATAAAATAAATTAAGCTAATGCATTATAAGAGCCAGCATAGGCATTGATGGCATATCTTTGACCTTTCGCGTTGAAAGCAAAGTATGCCAACATCATCGTCGTAAAGCCGAATGAATGTAGCTATCATCAAGATTTTCATGTGAAATACTTATGAAGAGATCTACGCTTTCTTGGGCATTGTTGGGATCGGCATACCTTCAGTGCTGCATAATTTAATGTCATTTAATATGACGCGAATAAATTCTTGAGCACTTAAGCATTCGAAATACTAATAATAGTTTAGCCTTCACTTGAATGACAAAATATTATATGTATGCTCGCCTAAATAATATCTTCTTCTTTTTCTTCTTCATTAGCGTGGGCACCGCTTACGCCATTATAGCCGAATAACAATAGCACACCTTTTGCTTTTTCTTTTCGTTGTTTGGCGCCAGTTGGTAGTAGCAAGTGAAGCTACGTCGCTGCGACGAAGCTCACGACTACATCTCCCTCTGCTTGCACCGATGGGTACTGCATCGGATACTTTTAAAGCCTAGCCTAGCTTAGTTGCGGTCTCTTTGATCGCAGAACTCTATCATAGCCCCCACCAAAATATTTAATATACCAATTTTGCATTTAACATATGTAGCGGCTGTATTCATATTACAAATAGACTAGTACATAAGTTACAACCCACATATGTAATAGCCTATTTCCACCGGACGTTAAATGCATTTTAGCTTAAATGTATTTAAACATCGCATTTAAATGCGGTAATTCTCATGTGTTTGTTGTTGTATAAAAGTGTGTTAACTCACTTTTCAAAGTGAGTTAACTCACTTTCGGCAATTTAACAGAAAATGTTATGTTAACATTGGATGCTGTCACTACTAATGTAATCATTTCGGAAGTTTCGGTGTACTTCTTACCAGAGTCGTGTGTTTTCGGATTAAATGAGGGGCGAGATTTTTATTTTGCATGGTGAAATTTTTTGTATAAAAATTCCTTTTTTGCATTAGTTTTAACATAAATGCCTATAATAAGTAATTGGCGAAGAGAATACTTCTCCGCCTTCAAAAAAAACTATGAGAAACAAACAAAAAACAATTGTGGAATATCAAACGATCCCGTCAACATAAAAATATACGTCGCTCTGGTAGCTATCAGCTGATTGCGCTAAATAAATAATTTGAAGGAACAAACAAACAAATATGAAAATGGAAACATGCATAAAAGCATCTCCGTTTCAGCAACGTTTGTCCGTGCAGAAATAATCTGCACTTGCAAGTCTAAGATTGCAGAAATAGCCAAATAAAATGAATGCGGTCTCTTGAATTCATGATTTCTATGGTTGTGGCAAATTTTGTAAACTGCAAATGAAAACAAAAATCAGCTGTTTGAGTTAACTCACTTTCGGTGGAAACGTTTGACATTTCATTTACTTAACAGAGGCCTTAAATGCATTTAAGTGCTTGGTGGAAATAGGCTATAATGTTGCAATTATTTTCTGTTAGCTCAACATTATGTTAAATGATTATGTTATTAGCTATGTAAGCAAAGGCTTAGAATAGAAAAATATGTTTAAGGCTCATCTCAAAAGATTTTGTCAAAATACAAAATTCACTTAATTTGAATTACTTATAACTGTTGTTCTTCAATTTATGATTTTATGAATTTTAGCTATATAAGATTATACTGGAATAAAAACTCAAGTATTCGCACATGCGACTAATAATGATGCGCACGTCCAGAACTCCCGTGTTTTTTTGTCATTTGCCGTGTTTATTAAAGCCTAGACACTTGTAGGCAATTATTGGCTGGTTTCATAACCAGAAAATGTGAATAAACTGTTTTTGGGGTTAAATTTATTATCTAGATTTTTTGAATTTATATTTTATACTGGTGAGAAGCCAAAGAAATTTTGAGCTTTTTCCTTATTTTTTGTTATAAAATAATTAAGATGCATTAATTTATATACATAAATATATATTTATGTAAAGGGTAATTTTTTTAGCATATCTTTTTGGCAACACTGGTTTAAACAGCTGACGCACGTTTAGTGTCTTGTGTCACTGTCAAACATTTTCAGTTTGGTCTATATTTTAACCATGAATCGTCTCACAAATTATTGAATTTTATTATCGAAATGCGTGCTCTGTTAAGAAAGTTCATCGCGCGTTCATTATGTTGAGCGTCTAAGCTCCTGTTTGGCTTAATGAGTGCGTGAATAAGCAGAATTGTCGATTTGGGAGTGAAGACTAGCCAAAAGCATTGCAAGAGCTACCAATGCATCCAGTAAAAGTCACAGTTTGATGCGGTTTATGGGCTGGTGGCATCATTGGATCGTGCTTCTTCGAAGATGATGCGAATCGTAACTTAACTGTGAATGATGAGCGCTACCGTGAGATGATATCAAACATTTTTTTGCCCAAAATGCAAGAGCTTGACTTACATGGCATGTGGTTTTAACAAGACAGTGCCACATGCCACACAGCACGTATAACTTGAGAAACCAGTTCTGGTCGATACGGTAAACTTCTCTTCACCTGATACTCGATAAATTAGCAGATTTATGATTTTTAAAAACAAGTCAATAGACTACGAGTATGTGAGTTGCACTCTTCGGTGAAGCAGTTTGTGATTAAGAATAATGAGGCTCCCAATGAGAGATGTTATGTTGATATTCAAAGAAACTTTTCCCTTAAAAGACCGATGGTTTCGCTGCTTGTGTGACACATAGCTCCGTCTTGTTGAAAGTAAAAGTTGTCCAGATCAATACCATTCAATTCCGGCCGTATAAAATTATTAATCATCTCTCGGTAACGCACTCCATTCATTTTCGAAAATGGAAGATGTAATGGCCCTCTCAAATCATAAACCGCACCAAACAGTTACATCTTGAGGATGCTGCGGCTTTTCAACAATAAATCTTGTGTTTTCCGAGCCCCAGAGACAACAGTTTTGCTTATTTAAGTACCTCTCGAGGCGTAAATGGGCCTCATCGGTCAAAATGATTGTTCGCTAATATTCTTAAAGTGAATTTTTCTGATTTAAATGCGTTTTTGAAGAGTTTATCGTTCCATTTCTTTTTTTATTGGTGTAGTCTTTACTTGTAAAACAATGCGATCGGCGGGGATTTAATCGACCGCGCTGAATATGTTTTCGCTCATAATTATATTATTGAGTTATGTTATTTGATTTTAAAGTTGCTTTTTTTTCTGAATTTAAGTTACATATTTTCAACCATTTGAGTATAAACAGATTGATAATATATCTATATTTTACAGTGCTCCTTCGATAAGAGCGAAAACGCAAGCCGAGCGGCTGAAAATGTGAATAGCGTTTGTGATTCTGAACTGTTACAGTCAATCACGCGGAATTACTTGGGTGGTCAAAAGAACCCATCTCGAGTCGATTGAGGACATCCAGGCGGCCGTGACGAGGGCACTCGCGGACCAGAATTGTTACGAAACATGGGATAGGCGCTGGAATTGTTGTATAGCTGCCTAAGAGGACTACTTTGAAGGGGATGGCAGAATTGTAGAATAATTTTGAAATATACGGTTTTTATGGAATCAATCTCATTGCTCAATTGTAACACCACATACGAGCATAACAACTGGCGAAATAAGTGGATATTGTCTTAAAGGGAATAATGGGCCGCTTCTCAAATGATCTCTGTCGCAGGTGCAGAGACATAGATGAGGAGGAACCTTACTACTCTATTACTGCCTAAATTGCAGTGTAGTCCGGAATCGGTTTCTCGAAAATTTCTTCATCGAATGCCTTGCAGTTCATGCAACGGGCCAATAGGGCTAAGTGCGCTGGATTAGTTTCACGTGCATGAGCAACCTGTTCAACTAACTAACTATCTAAGGCTTTCTCATCATCAATTTTTTCTTCTGTTTTCGGATTTCAGAGTGAAAGGTTTCTAGGTGATCAAACCTAATCTGTAGTAACTAACAAAACCGATAAGAAACCGTCGCATAAAATATATGTAAGCTCAAATTCAATTTCAAGTCACTAATAACGAACAGGATGTACCATACTATATACCTGCTGAGCCTTAATAGCAGTTAGAAAATGTTCCTAACGTCTCTT